ACAAATCTTTTAATTAAGAAGGAATTAACATCTTTCTACCTTAGCTACAATTGCAACATAAAGCTAATCATGAAATTGTTTTTGAGGAAAATGTACATTTTAATTATAGAAATTAATTTTTATAAACTTCAAATATTTTAAGGATGATGATAGGAATTTTTAAAATATGTAGAAATTTTTAAAATATCGAAACCTATTACAAAAGTTTATCCATGATTACTAATAATTAATTTTTTCATTAATAATAATAATAAATAATTAGCATGATACACAATTACATATATAATTTTCTTTCTTTTTCTCATTAATTATTATCTAATTTGGATCTTTCTAAAGAGTGTCAAGTAAAAATGACCATGAATTTCACCAATCATACTTGTACACTCTCTGCAAAGCTCTGCTATGCAGACGATCCAAAATCCTATGTCCCCACCCATTTTCTTAATTAAAAAAAAAATTAGAAATCCAAAACGCTATGTAATAATTTTTGCAAACTTCTCATTGTTAGATTATATTTAATGATTTGTTTATTGAATGCATTTGGCCGTAATGGCCTCTCCACGTCACACCTAATACAAATTGATAAGCATAGACAATCTGAATTAAACTTCAAACACGGACTAAAGTCGCCTAATTAGGCCGTAAACATCGTTTAATTTACATTAACGACATGGAATCCTAGTCATCTGAAAAAACTCCAGCACTATCTAAGACAGAGATGGCATTATTTATTTACTTTGAATTTCCTTTTCAATTTTGGATGCACACAATTATTTTCATGTTTATTGATGTATAGTAGCTAGTTTTGGAATCTTTTAATCATTAACCTTATATATTAATTTAAAATTTCACGCTAGGAATCTTTTCCTGTGTTACTGATTATTTATATAGTATTTTCACTTCTTTAACTGATGTCGCATTAGCCCCAAAAAAAAAAAGAAGGGGAAAAAAAGAATAAAATGTAGAGTGAAAACCAAATGTCATTAAGTCAATTAAAAAAGACGTGATTTCTGGAAAATGAAGGATCTTTTAATTATACTTTTGAAAAATGTTTATTTAATTTATTATGTTCATCAACTTAGATCCCCTTAATTGATTAAAGAGATCAGTTGCATATGTATATACACACATATACAAGAGACTCGTATATTTTAGGAGAGGTTCTGGTTGCGGCTGGACCAATACTCAGCAACAGTTTAGAGAAAGAAGAGTTTGTCTCCATAAGCTTTGAAGGCTCATCATATTCCACTTCCACCTTTCCCTGCATTCATCATCCAAATAGCAATTCAAAAAATGAAAAAAAAAATGTTAACGGGGAAAATAAATTCAGACGAAAATAGAAGTGATAGTATCTGAATTTTTCTCGGGAGAACAAGAAATTTAGAAGTAAAAGAAAATTGGTAAGTCTGTAAGAGATAACCAGTTGCTTCTCTTTAATTCACTCGTTAAATCATGTTGATATGTCTTAAAGTTAAAAAGGAAGAGGAAGAAGAAGATTCAACATACCAGAAGAGAGGACCATAACCATATCACTGTCTATTACAGTTGGAACTCGATGGGCTATAGTTATAACTGTGCACCCTGCAAATTCTTGTCTAATAACTTGCTGCAGGATGGCATCTGTGGTAGAATCAATGGAAGCAGTGGCTTCATCAAGAACAAGAATCTTATTTCGCTTCAGAAGTACTCTTCCCAGGCATAAGAGCTGACGTTGTCCCACACTCCAATTTTCACCTTCATCATTCACTGTCAAAATTTTCATATTACATCAGTTTAGTCATTGCATCTCAACTCTTTGTTAGTTTTGACAAGGACAAAATATAGCTTTTAATACTAGCACCAATTAGAATTATTACATATAAAAATATCGTTTGAGATAAAGTAGTATCTAAGCCTCCAGAACTAAGAGACCCTGAGTTCAAACTATTTCTGCAAATATAAAGACAGTAGGTCTATTCTTAGTTAACATTTTAAGGTGAAAAAGCTTTTGTTTGAGAAAGTTAAAAATATTAATAAAACCAAGCAAAAGTCTTCACATGACATTTGGGTTACTTTACAGAGCATGGTACTTAGTAATCTGCTCAGAGTTGTTTCTATACACACACACACACGTCAGATTACAAGCGTCAAGTTCTTGAATCCAACTCACCAGAAGAGTCCAGTTGATTTGGTAGCCTGCTGATTGTTGACTTGAGCTGGCATTTCTCTAAAGCCTGTGAACAAATACAGTAGACATCAAACAGGAACTTGCTATAAAGCTCATGTAGAACATAATCGGATTATATATAGAGTACGTATTCTTTAAACTGTAAAGGCAATTCCTTAAATCTTTACCTCCCAGATTTCATTGTCAGAGTAGAGGCCAAGAGGATCCAAGTTGGTTCTAATGCTACCCCTAAAAAGAGTGGGTTCTTGAGGAATAATGCTCAGCTTCATCCTCAAATCCTTCAACCCCATTGGTAATATGCTGATCCCATCTATAAGAATATCACCTCTTGCAGGATCAACCAATCGAAACAAAGCACTTACTAGTGTACTTTTCCCACTTCCAGTCCTCCCTACAATTCCCACTCTACTCCCTTCTTTGAATGCACAAGTGATTCCCTTAAGGACTAATGGAGCATTTGGACGATACCTTATCTGAAATCAATAACGTAGTGACATACTCATTTATCTACATTATAAAAAGAGATGGTCTTTGGAAAAAACATATGACTAGTTTCTGTCACCTCAAGGTCTTGAAGCTCAATCCTACCCTTGGAGGGCCATGAAGGTGGAGGTTTTCTGTTCTCCACAACTGCAGGAGGGTCTTCTGGTATGTGAATGAACTGTTTGATTCTTTCAACGGAAACAATATAATTTGATAAGTTGCAGAACCAACGACTCATAAAAGTTACGCATATTGTCAATGACAAAGCATATGATAGAGAGAGTCCTGCAAGGCCTGCACCCAAAATACATTATATTTATAATGAAATAAAATAAAATAAACGTTTAAAAAGAAAGATAAATTAATTTCTCATAAAACTGTTACCTGGATGCATAAGTCCCTTTGGAAGTAGAACAAGCAGCAAAGCTGCTGTGAAGAGTGTCAAGTTCTGAAGTATTTCAATCCTTAAAATTAACCATTCTGTGGCCACATTAGAATGAAAGAATAGTTTTGCATCTGTGTCCACAAGCTTGAGGTAATTTTGGTAAAATCTATCTGCCATGTTGAAAGCTCTCACAGTCACCACTCCTAATGATGTCTCCGCGGTGAAATTCATAACCGGTGCTTTGGTGGTTCCATTGATTCTCATTAGTTCCCTAGCAGAGGCTTGGTAATAGCCCTTTCAACCAAAAATGTCGTTATAAGCTTCATTTTAACAGAGGCAGAATATGAAATCAACAAAAAGAAAACGAGGGAATGGACAAACCTGAATGTATTTGGAAGTTATTAAGGCGGGAACTGCAACAATAAGTACTTGCCACGTGACTGAAACCATTATTGCAATTATTGTCAGAAGTTCTATTGCACCACTTGCTGAAAAGGTGAGTCCATAAGGTATATCAAAGTCTAACGTACTCAAATCTGACGAAGCCTGCAAGAGAGGAAGATTTCACATTCATTTCTACAATGATTAGCTAAATTTAATGTTTATCAATGAATAGAAGGAAATTATATACGTTAATTAACCAATATAGTTGGAAATAAAGTCATCTCACTCGGGTCAAAATTCTTCCTACTGGGGTTGAGTCAAAGAACAGCATAGGAGCCTTGAAGATAGCATTATTGAAACCAGAGAAGAAACAAGCAGAAGCTTTTAATCCAAGGTGGGCCCCCATGATAGATCTTAGCCACACAAAGCCAACACTTAGAAGTGAGATTAATGTGTAAACCCCAATCAAGATGCCATTTGTTACTTTTGGTACTTCAATGGCCAGAGCAAGCCAAAAGGTTGATGCTGCTTGCAAACCAATAAAAGCCACCTGTGCTAAAATGATCAGACACATAAGCAATGATCCTTTGGAGAGATAAAGATAATCCAAGAATGGCTTCCACCCAACATCTCCAATCTCCTTTTCTTCTTCTCGCGTAAGTTGTAACACTTGATCTTTGCTAGAAACCTGCTCATTCTTATGATCCTTAGAGAGATCAAATCCACGAGACTCCAGTGGCTGAAGAACGTTTATTACATCTTCATATTCTCCCGGGGTCTCATGGTTTTGATCTGAGCCTAATATTGCTTTTCTGTGGGCATTTACAAGTTGTTCAAAGGCTTTCCCTTCTGTTAGAAGATCTTCATAACATCCTGACTGGGTAACTACTCCACCCTCCATTACAAGGATTTTGTCAACTTTTGAGAGAAACTCCACTTGATGAGTCACCAGAATTACGGTTTTCTCCTTTAGAGTGTTCAAGACACAATCCTGTAATCACATGAAAGAAACCAAGATTAATATACTCAAATGAGGCCAGAGTTGTGTCGCAATGGGAAGGATCTGAAAGAATTTCTTCTTACGTTGAAAAGGGTAGAAGCAGTGTGTGCATCTACTGCACTGAAAGGGTCATCTAAGAGATAAATATCAGCATCATTATATACGGCGCGAGCCAGTTGAATCCTTTGTTTTTGTCCTCCACTCAAGTTGATCCCTCGCTGACCTATTTCTGTAAGATCGCCATGGCTAAGAGCATTAATATCCTTATCCAAGGCACAGACTTTTATGGCATTCTCATATTTGGTATTGTCCATCGCTTGGCCGAAGAGTATATTATCACGAACTGTCCCACTTTGGATCCAAGATGTTTGAGAAACATAGGCAACTGTTCCACCCACGTTAACCTGTGTTTAGTATCGAGGGAAAAGAAAAAATTGTGTGAAGTTTTTTATTTAATCATTAATGTTATATGGACTACGGGAGAGACGGAGAGCCATACTCCTGAAGGCTAGTGTACGAGTTATTTGATGCCATTGTCTTAATTAATATAGGCTTTCCTGGTCAAAATATAGACTTTCCTGGTCAAAAATTAATATAATAGAGGCTAAAATATACATTTGATCCTATAACTTTGTATAAGGTTTCTGTTTGATTCTTTAATTTTAAAAAGTATACTTTTAGTCTTTTTAACTCTAAATTTTTTTAAAAAAATGATGACATTAAGATTTTAAATGCTGATAAGATATTCTCAAATGCTAACATATTAAGTTTAATTTTTAAAATATTTATGATTATTACAAAAAAATTTCATTGAAGCCTACGATTTTAGGGTTAAAGAATCAAATGTATGCTTTTTAAAATTAAGAGACTAAATTAAAACTTTGTATAAAGTTAAAGGACTAAATATATACTTTAGTCTATAATACTCCTATGGTCCTATTTATAGGGCAGAGAGAGAAGGTTTTTTTTTGTCCTATTTATAAGTCACTTCATTAACTTTTCAGTGTGAATGTACTATTTTGTCCTTCATTTATTATAATGTAAGTAGTTATCTTTTTTTAAAAGGAGTATATGTTAAATAGGGATAAAGTTGAAAAGTTGCTATATTTTAATGGAGAGTTAATGCAGTTTAAGGTTTTCCTTGGTCTGTGTGAAACATGTTGAAAGTGCCTTATAAATAGGACTAGAGGAGTAGACTTTAAAAGACTAACACTTCACACGCTAGCTTTTTAGGTTGGAGAGTCCAATAATCATATAAGCCACATAATTAAGTCAATCTCCAAAGATAGGACAAAAACCAGAAAGCATAAGTTTCCAATTAGCATTGCATGCTCCAAAGTTGAACTCTTATCCTGTGATTTGGTTTTTCAAAAAAAGACTAAACGGAACAATTCTTCATTATTAACTCACAGTTCCTGAAATTTTGGGTATCTCGCCGAGAATTGCATATATCAATGATGATTTTCCACCTCCAACTGGTCCGCAAACTGCAATTTTCTGCCCCCATTTGATTTCCATATTCAAATCTCTCAAAGTTGGAGACATCGATTCCGGATCCCAACTGAAGTTACCTGCTTGAATTTCCACGGTATTAACTGAATTTTGCATTAAGTTTCTTCCAATGGCATCATCACTTAGCTCATCATCAAGCAAAAAGGTGTTGAGGCGATCAAAGGAGACCTTAACTTGGATTAGAACAGAAAGAGCCTCTGGAATCGTTCTAACAGGTTCACCCATGGCCCTCAAAGTAGCAAGAATAGTAAATATGGATCCAACATTTAAACGGGAGCTTTGCAAAAGAGCACATCCTAGGAAGATCACCGAGGAGACAATCGTTGGAGACATCCAATATACGAATGAACCATGAGCTTTTATGATCTGTGCCTTAGCCAGCCACTTGAACTCGTTGGCACGAAGGCTTTCTACCAAGGTCTTGAACTTTTCCTCCCAAGATTGCAACTTTATGATTTTCATATTATTTAGGATCTCTGAAGTTGACCTTAGACGTTCATCCTGTGCAACCATAAATTCGGATTGACACTTTTGAATGATCTTTGCAAAGGGTATGTTAAGAAAGCCACATATGAGAAGAGGGACTAAACCAGGAAGAGCACCAAGACCAACAACGCCAAATAGGACTCCAATGGACAGAAAAAGTTGTAATGCTAATGTCCATGTCGTGTGAAACCACCATGGAAATTCTCCCATCCTATAAGCATCAATTGCTATGTAATTTACGATTTCCCCAGTTGAGTGTCTTCTTCTGGCTACGCTTGAAACTTTCAGTTGCTTGTTATATACTGCCACCATTAGAGCTGATCTCATTCTCATTCCCGACCTTCGTGATTGAAAAAACCAGTGCCTCTGTGACAGAGATTCAATTACCTTGCAAATGATCAGGCAACCTACTATGGCAAGACCCTCCCTCAGATTTTCCTCCTTAGATTTTGAATAGTTCACAAAAGCATAAAGCAACAAAGGAGAAACTACTACAGAAAATGTCCTGAGTAATGCCAGGATTGCTATGAGAAAATTCTCTTTCAAGTAAACTCTTGATATGGACCACATAACCCAGTTTTTGTTACTATCTCTTTTGCTCCTATCCATTGTGAAAAAATCCCACCCATGAGAAAACTTTTCGTAGGCTAAAGCAGCTTCATCTTCAGAAACAAGAGATGGGATGTCTTCAAGAGCTAATGGCTTTGAATAGCCCAAATTCAGTAGGGAATTGATCCATGAGAAAGTCAATTTGCTGAAAAAATTGGCACGTGCAAGTTTTGATTCTTTATTTTCATCCTTTTGAGCTAAAAGAGGCTCTGACATAGTGGTAGTTTGAGTGCTTTGAGGTGCAGAATAAAGGCTTTGGAAGGCACATAAAACAAGTGAAAAATGCACAGGCCATTGGACCAGATCAAGTATTTGAATGTCATGCTCTTTTAGCAGAATCTCAATATTGAGAGCTGAAACAAGTGTGCATGAAGAGACCCACCAAACAAGGTTTAGAATTTTTACACATTTAGATCTCTGAACAAGTAAAGATCCTGTTAGAGAAATCCAGACCACTCCTCTGAAAAAATAAACCAACCACCTCAGCTTCCCAAAGTCTTCAGATTTGGCAATAAGACACCACAGACCATTACCGAAATATGCAATGCTTATGAGAGCACAACAGACTGAGACTACCGAACAAACCCATCCTTTTCTGGGGCTGTCACTTGTATTGTTTTTTCTGATAAAATTGCAAAGCAAGGATATGTAAAAGGCACAGAGAAAGAAAAGATTCACGGTGTCTATGATGCTCCTTTGAGTGCAAAAGGAAGTGAAATCAAAATCTCGGAGACAGAACCTTGGGACGTCCCCTGTATATGCATCAAAAGAGCGTTTTATCATTTTGTACAGCGTAAGAAGGCACTGACTGAATACAAAGAAATATTACTCTATGATTTAAAAGAGACGCACCACAATGATAAGATGCCCTCAAGAGCCTTTTTTTTTTTTTGGGGGGGGGGGGGGAGATAGTCATACAGTTAAAGAACAAGCAGATGGTATCAACACAAGTCTGAAGTTCTGATAAGACAAAAGTCTGAGAACACCTAACAAAGTAAGATGATCTTCATGAACTTCATGGAGGAAAAAGAAGTGACAGTTCATCAAACATTTACAGAACAAGAGGATAGTATTTACTAAATTTGTAGTTATATAAAGGCAAAAAGAATCAGCAAGGTGTTGTGTACCTATTGAACTGCCATAGTTGGCCATTTTTGGCGCTTCAATAGGCTGGTGTTCTGCTGCTCTCAGGTTTCATTGGGGTGGTCACCGGGCACCTGACTCTGGTGGCTTATCTGGGTATGGCTTGAGGCCTGTCACCCTTTGCCCCGCGTGATTCCTGGAACCAGAGGCACAATCGAATGTGACCTGTCTTGTACATTTATCCTGGTTAAGTCAATTTTCCTTTTTTTCTTTTTCCTGTGTAAGCACCCGGTATTTGATCTAGGTCATCTTTCAGGAATAATAACAGGTTCAGACTAATTTGGATCGAGACATGATAAGAACTATTAAGGTTGGTGTCCCAGGCCCTTAAAATGGTACATTCCCATGTTTCAAACTCGAGACTAATGGTTAAATTGAAACAGCTCCTGTCAACTGATATAATCGTTAGAATCTAGTTAAATCAATTTTCAATAAATAAATATCAGTACATTAATACTATAATTTATTTACTTAGAATCCAATGCCCTAATTTTATTTATAATGCTTTCAGTATTTTAATTTTTTTTTTAAGTACTCTCCTATTTATAATTTAGGGTAATGAATACATTATGAATAAGATTATGCTATTGAAGAAGTGTGAACGCAATCAAGAAGTAATATTAGAGTGCTAAATACTATTTTCCAATATTCTCTCTATTAGAAAAGTCCCATATTACTTATTCTTTTTGCTTTTTTGGTCGAACATATCACTTATTACTTCTGTTATGAAAATGAAAACACATGCACGTCACTTCTTAAGGTTCTGAAAATAATGTTTTCATCAAAAATATTTTTAAAAAAATCTTTTAATGTCAATTTTTTATGTTGAAAATTAAAACTCCATAAATGAAAAGGTGAAAAACGTTATGGTGAAAACGTTAAACTGTAGATTTTTCGTTAAGGAAAAAGGAAAATAAATTATAAAGTCACATCAAGAAAACAAGTGGTCCGCAGTCCCCACACACACATATTGTGATTTTGTCTTACTCCGATCCAAATGAATTCTGCTTTATGTTCAACATCTATTTTTCCGTAGTGGGAAATGAATTCATTTCTCGAACAAGACTGTAAATTAAATGAACCAGGTTAACCAAAAAAAAAAAAAAAGTAGCTACATTGTAGCAACAAAACAAAAGACTGGACAAGTAGTTCAGGATTTGTTTGTTTTTGTTTTTATGTTTTTAGAATAAATTTTTAAAACAAATTTTAAAAATAAAAATTAAAAAGATATGTTTGGATAATTAGTCTAAAAAATTAAATTTAAAAACAAAGAAACATAAAAAAACTTATTTGAAACCATTGTTCTTAAATTAAATTAGAGAATTAATAGAGTGCGAGAAATAAGGCAGAGAGTGCAATAAGAAAGAATTGAGAGATTGATAAATGCGCAAGAAATAAAGTGGGAAGCGTGACCATGAATAAAGCGAAGAATTAAAAATAACAAAAGAAAAAATATAAAACAATTACACTTAATTAAAATTTAACAACCACACAAATTTTTTATTTTTTAAAAAATAAAGAATTATTTTCAAAACAAGAAAATAAACAGCCCTTAGCATCAAATGCTCCCTTTTTTCCTCCCTTTCTTCGTGTCAGCATTTATTTTCAGCAACTTTTTTTTTTTTAAAAATTTCATTAAGTCTACTCATAACTTGAAGAATGAAGTTATTACTTTTTTTTTAATCAATCGTAGGAACTAAGTTTTTTCAAAACCTCTAAAAATGGGGTTAAAAGATATTTTTCTCTTAAACTATTCTTTAAGAAAGACTGGATATTTCAAACTACTCCTTCGGTCCTTAATATAGGATCCAATTCTTGAGTTGGTTTTGGTCCTAAATGTAAGACCCATTTCTCATATTTATTAATGTTCTCTAAATTACCCCTATAGATACTCCCTTAACCATAATCAAGTAGAGGAGGGAGAAAGGGTATTAAGAAAGATGATTATGGTGTTTTAAAAAAAAATGTGTTACTTTTCTTATAATTAATTAACTTACCTAACTTTCTTAATCTAATCAAATTAGTTAAATAGATCTTATATTAAGGACCAGAGGAGTATTAATTAAGTACTGCAATGTCCTTTTAAACATTAAACATAGCAATATGGCCCTTAACATGACTTTGACTATCAAATATTTTGTTTGACCTAAAATGTACATGTGTAATTCATAATGGATTAAAAAACTCAAATTAAATACTTTTTTAAAAGTTTATGAATAAAGTTCAATTATTGATTGCAGTTTTATTCCTAAATAAGTTTTTAAAAAAGCTACTTTAATTGTTTGAAAAAAAAAAAAAAGCTACTTTAATGGTTATAGCTGACCTTGGTTGCAGGACAAGTCACATTGCCATTTAAAACCATTTGAAACAGAGAACATGGCACACCTTAGGGTACCCCATACTTTTGGGGAAAAAAAAAATATAAACACAAATTACCTTTTAACCCTTTTAAAATCAATATATTGAAACGAAATACATATCTTCCCCCCCCCCCCTCCTCATCATTATCTAATGACGATCTTTCTAAAAGAGGGATTGTCAAGGGAAGGTGGCCCGTCTCACTCATGTCGTCTCCCACCTCACTCTTTCTTGGTGATGATTCCAAATACATAATGCTTGTCGTTTTCGTATTTATAAAATTAAACATCCAAATCCCATTTAATAAATACTTCGACTACATTATATATAAATTTATATATTTATCAATAATTTTTAACTTTTAAAACTTTAAAATAAATTCCAATAAATTTGTACATTATCTATGCAAATAATTTTCCTGCCGTTATTTCATCTCTTATTTCATTAAAATAATATAATATGACAGAAAGTAAGAGTCATCTTCATGCAATTTGAAGTTTAAGAGGATATTCATATAAAATAATATTTAAAAAGTATTTGATCAATAAGATGTTATATGATTGATAGTTTATGGGATTTTTTTATCAATTACTACCTCCCATATTAAATATATAAGATATAGTTTATAGTCAATTTGCACTATAAAAATTCTTTTACCTAAATTTAGACTATAAATAAGATATTATATTTAAGACTGGTAATAGTATTAATTTTTGCAAACTTCTCATTATTACGTTCGGTTAGTGATTTATTTATTAAATAAATGGGAGGAAGATTAAAGTAAGACGAAGATAAGCAAACAACACATGACCAAATGAATTTTCAATTCTTATACTACTTGGTTTTTAATATAGGAGCTAGCTAGTTTAAAGGTTGGAGTTATTTCTAAATATAAGAATTTTATTCATTTTTATCTGATATTTATCATTTTCTTAACTAATTTGCGTAACTTATAAATTGAGACCTAATATAATATTATATAAGGATATTTTAGGACGATCATGTCACATTTGTATTAATTTATTTGGTTGTCTTTACTGTTTAAATGAGTTAAGTAATTTTTATATTAAAAATTGGAGATAGCAGCTTTAGTGAAGCCTATAATCAATCAATTCCCACCTTGCATGATTGGGGTGGGCAATGATGATAAATCTTCTTTTCATTAAAAAAATCATAAGCACTAAGAAAACTTTGCCGGCCATATATAAGCTCTTGACACACCATAATGGGTAACCTTGGATTTGAAATCTTTTGTCTTTCGTGTTCTTTTCCTGTCAAATGCTTATCCGGTCTTATATTGAGGATTAGGTGAGTATAACAAATTAATCAATACTAAATTAGGTTGGGTGGATCTGATAATGATTGGTAGAGACTTTTATTCTTAAGTAAGTGATTAATATCACAACAACTTTTATATAATATATATACACACAAACACAAAAAGGTCAAATAATTGTTTAACTCCGCACGAGAGTAGACAATCTTTTTAAGAAAGGTTAAAATTTGAAGGCGGACGTCTTGTGTTACTATTGTTTTCCTTAGTCACGATGAAACTCAAACCTTCAAACTGAAAAATGACAATATTCCGATCCTCTTCTTTTTTGCATCTCTTACCTAAAACTTGTGTTGGATTACTAAAGTTGTACAAGCTTTCTGTGTATTCTTGAACTACATTAATGTTGTCTCTTATAAGAAAAATTTGCTCAATGATCTGGTCAGCCGCTCTCATCTGAGTAGTTTCAATATTTTTCTAGTTACTCTTTTTTTCAAAACTGATGTTTGATTAATTCCCCATTTCCTAACCTCTTCAATGCCTAACTTAATTGTATGACTTTTTTTATTTTATAAAATTGATCTTTTTATTTAAAAAAAAGTCAAATAGTTATGACGTAAACTTGTGTTTGTGCTGAGTACAATTATATTCGGTTAATTATTTCCTGACGTACGTAGTCCATCCGACCCGCTATATACAACATTCAATTTTTAACATATCGTTAGTTCTTTTAAGAAAATCTCAAAAAATAGACCCTTAAAATTATGAAATTATGAAATGAGTACTTAAACTAACAAAATTGCAGTCAACAATCGGGCCTTAAACATGAATTATGAAATGTTGAATTAAATAAAACTAGAATGTCCTTCTTATTCTCTTTCCTCCATCATCCCATCTCCTTCTCTTTCCTCTTCCTCTTCCTCTTCCTCTCTTTGTCCTTCTCTTTTCTCTTATTTTACAATAATTGCCCAGCAAAGTCATAAGCCATGATATTCCGCATAAGCCGCAAAGTCATAAGCCAGGGCCTTAACATGCAAAGCCAAATCCCCCTCCTCCTTTCTTTTCATGTTCGTTACGGAAAATGAAGGAAATTGATTGGATCATGTTTGTGAACTTTCAATAGATAAACGTACTGGTGTAACCACTTTGTCTCTCGCATCATCCCCTACTGTACTAATTCTTTATTTGCTCATCATTTCCGAGCTGCAGTGTGCCCCGGAGATGTGATAGTAAAATTTATTTTGCTCGCCTTGTCTGAATCTGTTGTTCCTTTTATGAGGCAAACTTCTCTTGCAAAGGTTCCTACAATTGCTTGATTTTCACCTGCTTCAAGATTCCTCAACCATCAACATATTCTTTTATGTAACTTCTCTTGAAGAGGTTCCTACAATATTTTCTTTCTCACTAGTTTCGATAGACCCTTGCTATGCT